AGGCAAATTATTTGACCTTTCTCTGTGAGAGTTTCACACTATTTTTTGTGCCTGACTCATTACTGGTAACATACTCCAAGCTGCTTATATCCATCATGTACTTTTCCATTCATTGGTGTGGCACTCAAACATCTTATTTCTTTGCATACAGTAGCATTCCATGATTCATAGCTGCATAATGTCACTGGTTGTGTATTGGTGAAAAGAAAATACCTTGTGTTCAGTTTTTATAATTTATCTTTATTTTCTTTTTTTTTTTGCAAAGTTAAATCTTTTATCTGAAACTTTTTTATAATTTTTTTTTAGTTTTCAACATTCACTTCCATAAGATTTTGAGTTCCAAATTTTCTCCCCATCTCTCATCCCAAGATGGCATGTAAATTGATATAGGTTCTACATATACATTCATATTGTAACATATTTTCACATTAGTCATGTTGTAAAGAAGAATTAGAACCAATGAGAGGAACCACAAGAAAGAAGAAACAAAGCAAAACAACAACAAAAAAGGGAGCAAATATTATGTTTCCATCTGCATTCAGATTTCTCCCCAATTCTTTCTCTGGATGTGAACAGCATTTCTATCACGAGTCTTTTGGAGTTGTCTTTGATCCTTGCATTGCTAAAAAAAGTTAGCCTATCAAAGTTAATTATCACACAATGTGAATGTTACTGTGTACAATGTTCTCTTGGTTCTGAACACTTCACTCAGCATTACTTCATATTAAGTCTTTCCAGGTTTTTCTGAAGTCTGCCTGTTCATCATTCTTATAGCACAATAGTATTCCATTACATTCATATACCACAACTTGTTCAGCCATTCCCCAATTAATGGACATCACCTCAATTTCCAATTCTTGGCCACCACAAAAAGAGCTGCTATAAATGTTTTTGTACATGTGGGTCCTTTTCCATTTGTATGATCTCTTTGGGATACAAACCTAGAAGTGGTATTGCTGGATCAAAGGGTATGTTCGGTTTTATAGCCCTTTGGACATAGTTCCAAATTGCTCTTCAGAATGGTTGGAGCAATTCACAACTCTATCAACAATGCATTAGTGTTCCAGTTTTCCCACATCTTCTTCAACATTTATCATTTTCCTGTTTTGTCCTGTTAGCCAATCTGAGAGGTGTGATATGGTACCTCAGGGTTGTTCTGATTTGCATATCTCTAATCAATAGTGATTTGGAGCATTTTTTCATATGACTATAGATAGCTTTAATTTCTTCATCTGAAAACTGCCTCTTCATATCCTTTGACCATTTATCAATTGGGGAATGACTTGCATCCTTATAAATTCAATCAGTTCTCTATTTTAGAAATGAGGCCTTTATCAGAGACACTGGCTATAAAAATTGTTTCCCAGCTTTCTGCTTCCTGTCTAATCTTGGTTACATTGGCTTTGTTTGTGCAAAAACTTTTCAGTTTAATGTAATCAAAATCATCCATTTTGCATTCCATAATGTTTCCTATCTCGTTTGGTCATAAATTCTTCCCTTCTCCATAAATCTGACAGGTAAACTATTCCTTGCTGTCCTAGTTTACTTATAGTATCAGCCTTCATATCTAAATTGTGTATCTATTTTTACTTCATTTTGGAATATGGTGCAAGCTGTTGGTCTATGTCTAGTTTCTATGTCTAGTTTTCCAGTTTTCCCAGCAGTTTTTGTTAAATAGTGAGTTCTTATCTCAGAAGCTGCAGTCTTTGAGTTTATGAAACAGTAGATTACTAAAGTCATTGACTGTTGTGTCTTATGTATCTAACCTATTCTATTGATCTACCACTCTATTTCTTAGCCAGTACCAAGAAGTTTTGATGATTGCTGCTTTATAATACATAAGATTAAGATCTGGTACAACTAGGCCACCTTCCCTTGCATTTCTTTTCATTAATTCCCTTGAAATTCTGGACCTTTTGTTCTTCGGATGAATTTTGTTATTTTTTTTCTAGCTCTACAAAATAATAGTTTTATTGGTATGACACTGAATAAGTAAATTAATTTAGGCAAAATTGTCATTTTTATTATATTAGTTCAGCCTACCCACAAGCAACTGATATTTTTCCAATTATTTAGATCTGACTTTATTTGTGTGAAAAGTGTTTTGTAATTGTGTTCATAGACATCCTGGGTTTGTTTTGGCAGGTAGATTCACAAATATTTTATAATGTCTACGGTAACTTTAAATAGAATTTCTCTTTCTGTCTCTTGCTGCTGGGTTTTGTTAATAATACATAGAAATCCCAATGATGTATGTGGGTTTATTTTGTATCCTGCAACTTTGCTAAATGTGTTTATTATTTCAAGCAGTTTTTTACTTGATTCTTTAGGATTCTGTAAGTATACCACCATAGCATCTGCAAAGAGTGATAGCTTTGTTTCTTCTTTACCTATTCTAATTCCTTCAACTTCTTTTTCTTCTTTTAATTGCTAAAGCTACTGTTTCTAGTACCATATCGAACAACAGTGGTGATAATGGACATCCTTATTCATCTGAAACTTTTAAAAATGCTTCTACTTCAGGGCAGAGAAAGAAATTAATGGAAAAGAAATACTTCAAGTGAGTGTATCTCCCAAGCAGAGCTAGCAAACTATAATCAGGAAAGAAGTTTCCTGACTTTAGGGGTCATTCCTTCCCTTGGCTTTTGCCCTGGCTTCCTACTGTAGTCTTTCTTAATGCCTCATTTTAAAGGCTGAAGTCTGATGGTGTTATCTCTTAATGCTTCTTTTGAATAAGCATCCCTAGAGACTCAGGACCTTCTCTCTATGTCAAATGCATCAACCTGTGAAGATCGATATATTACTTATTTTAGGAAATTGTTCTAAGAAGATACATCCTTGAGCTAACAGAAGTCAGCAGCTATTTTTTTGTCAGCCTTCTTGTTATTTTGAAATATTCCTTAAATGCTTTTTGCTCCTCCTGAATCCTAATTCAAAATAAAATTCATTATGGACTCCCTACGTCATTCTGTTACATGCATACACTCACTAAATTGTTCTTCTCCACTTGTGATTTTTATCATCTTTCATTATTTCCTTTTAAAAGACTTTAGAGACTTCAAAATAAATTTTACTGAATGTCTCTATCCACCACGACAAAACAACTAAAAGTACATTTCTCAATCCCTTCTCTTGCTTGGTGGTGAAAGACATTGTGCTTTGGGATATCCTGTAGCAAGTACAAACTTTGTACTGATCTTCCCTTCTTTCCCTTTTTTTCCGTCTTCTTCCTTCTTCCTTCCCCCTCTCCCTTCTTTATCCTTTCCTTTATTAAGTGCCTACCCTGTGAAAAACAGTGTGTTGGTTCCTGAAAAGATCCTAAGATAAACAAGATATGAACCTTCCTTCAAGGAGCTTACAGTATAGTGGGGGTGATATGACATAAGAATAAGTAAATGTAATACAAAAAATTAATAATAGTAATAATAACGGACATGTATGTGTATATATGTATATATATATATCCCTTAAAAAGTCTGAAAAGCATTTTATTATGTTCAATCCTCACAACTGTGATGTAAGTACTATAGATAGTCTTAGTCTCATTTCACAAATAAGCAGGCAATAGTGAGTGACTTGCCTGATGGCTAGTGAGTGTCTCACAAGGTATCCCAATCCATGGGTTGCTAGTTCTAAGTTCAATGCTCTATCCATTATGTGTGGCTGTCTTTCTAGAATATGTAATTTTTGAATATTTTAGGATATGTAATATTTGTACATAATAGTACAAAATCCTTTGAAATCAGATGAGGGAAAGATCACTTCTAACTGGAGGGATTCCTGAAATCTATATATAGGAAGTGCCATTTAAACTGGACCCTGGTGTATAGGAAGAGAGTATTCCAATAGAATGTAAGTTCTCTTAGGGTAGGGACTAATCTGGTTTTTGTCTTTGTATTTCCAGTGCCTAGCCCAGACCCTTATACATAGTAGGTGCTTAATAAATGTTTCTTAAAGTGGATGTGGGAATTTGTTTTATTTTTCTAATAGTGGGTCAGGGAACAGTACAGATAAATGGAAAGAAATGAGACAGTATGTGATGTACTTCAGTTAATGGTACTACCATTCTCTCCTATTTATTTATTCATCCATTCAACAAATATTTATTAAGTCACACTATGGGCAAATGATACTGTGAAAGTTACAAAAAAATAAGAGCCATTCCCCGAACTCTGAGAGAATACAATTTAGAGGGGGAGATGAGACATATATACAAATAACTATAATGCTAGAAGGTAATATGTACCATGAGAGGTGCAATAAACATACAGCCAGTGAAAAAAGCACAGAGTCAGGAGATAGGCTGGTGTGTTCAAAGAACAGCAAGGGTGCCATTGAGGCTGGATCATAGCATACATCCAAAGGGAAGCAGCTTGCTGAAAGACTTGAAAGATAGGAAGGGGCAATGACATGAAGGGCTTTAAATGCCAAACAGCACATTACTTTTTGATCCTAGAGGTAATAGGGAGCCAATGGAATTTATCGAGTAGAAGGGTGACATGGTCTGACCTGCCTGTTAGGAAATCTATCTTGTTGGCTTAGTGGAGAATGGATTTTAGTGGAGAAAGCCTTGAGGCAGAGAGACCAACCAGAAAAGGCTGTTGCTATATAGCCTGACCATGAGGTGCTGCCCCAGAGCTCTGGCTGCCAAAGAGATGCTGCACCAGCTGGGAAAAGGAGTCAAGATTTTCTCCGTGAGCACAGAGTGTCTCCACTACTGGTTGAGTCAGTTCAGAGAGAATGAAGTGGTCTTTGCCTCTGTCATCATCAGTGTGCTCCTGTTAGCACTGAGTGTAAAGGCCAGTCCTCTTCAGCCCTGTTTTAGCCTCATTCATCTCAGGTTCTTTTCCCTGGAGGCGTAGTGTTTGCATGTGTGTTCATAGTGGGTGGTGTTTAGGGGCGGGGGGGTGTGTGTGAGTTGGGTGGGGCCAAAGACTTGTTTCCTGGGGAAGGAATGAAAATTGAGCCAAACACTCTTAACAAGCTGTTATTGTGAAGTGATTGGTCCTTCCTGGAGGCTGGCTATAGGAACACTTAGTCATCAGCACTCAGGAGATCTCTTTGGGACTGGGCACAAACTTGGCGGTTTATCTCCTAGCTCTTTGTGCCTGGGATTAGCTGTAGTACTTGGGCTTTGGGAAGGCTGATGCAGTTTGACAAAATATAATCCTAGATTTGCCGTTGCCTCTCAGCTTATGAAAAACAGATGTCTTAATGTTCTGGAACTTAACACAGAATGGAAATTGCCAACTAGAGAGCTTTTTGGACTGAGAACATTGAGTTAAGACAATTCGGAATCCAGCCAGAAGGGGGTTTTTCCCTCCTCTTGTCTATTTTTACTGCGTAACTGATAGCCGTCCAAGGACTGACCTTCCTCCCTCCTTCAGTCCATCCCTCTCACTCTGAAATGGGAGGGGATAGAGCAGCTTCACCTTGAGATACCATCAGAAGGAGAGATTGCAGCTGCAACCCAAAAGAGGGAGAGAAAGAGAGAGAGAGAGAAAAGAATGAAAGAAGAGAAAAGGAATGTCTCATGATTGTCTGACTGATTTTTGAAAAAAGCAGCATACAACCCTTCCGTAGCAGGCAGGGGGACGAGAAGGAGAGAGAAAGAGAAGATAGCAACAGCTTTCTCCTGGGGACTTGTGTGTATGTGGTTTTTTTTCCTAAGTGCAGTAAGTCACCATTTCACAATCATTCATTAGCCTGCTTATGCTATTGAGCTCTGAGAAATACTTCCGCAGAAGGTTGAGATGCATCCAGATTGCTGTGGAATTTGACTATGTATGTGTTTGTGTGTGTGTGTGTGTGTGTGTGTGTGTGTGTATGTGGTTTAATTTGTTATTCTTCTCATGTCAGGCAATGCACTGGGGGCTGCCAATTTCTGTCTATTTTGGGTACCTTCTTTTTGTTCACTCCTGGGTGGATGTTAGCATGTTTAAGAAGTCTGTAAAGTAATCCATTTCCGAACCCGTCACTGCAGTGGTTAGGAGCCAGAGTCGCTGGCAAAAAGACAAGAGAAAGGTTTCTGACAGCCCAGCCCAGCTCAGCTCTAGTATGCATGTCAGAAGCCAGACTGTTGGAAGTGCTAAGACTCCAAATTAAGCAGCTTTGAGCCTGAGCCAAGAGGGATGGCAATGAAGGAGAAGCAAGTACACCCTGTGTTTTTAAAAAATAATAATATGTGATCTGTGTACATGAAAAGCATGAAGTGGAGCTTTGAAATGTCATTTACTCCAAGAAAAAAATTACCCTGGAGTCTTAAACAGGCAGATGTTATAACTTTGAAAGTATTTTCCCTCTTTTTTTTTTTAACTTTAGTAGTTCATCCATTACCAGAAACTGAATTTAATTCCCTCACCATTTGCCTCCATTCTTTCCCCGCTCCATACCCCACATCCATCCTGCATCTCTCCTTTGTTAATGTTGGGAAGATGTTGACCTTGAAGTGTCTGTGGACTTAAAACCCAGCAACCCATCAGAAACACTTATTTTGAAGGTAAACACTGAAATCTAAAAATGCTTGCTATTTGCAAAATAATGAAAAGCCTTGGGCTGGGCAGGGGGATGAGTGGAGGGAAGAGAACATTCTGGGAAAGGAGACTGACTCTTTTAAGGGTGAGGCCTACAAGCATTCTCTAACCTCCAAATTAATTCTACCTGTAGCCATCCCATCCTTCCCCAAGGCAGTCAACCTTCCTCTTTCCACTCTCCTCTCAAGGAATCCCCACTGTCAGAGAAGGAAATAGAAGCTAATTTATACTTTCTGAGCTTTTTCAAAATTAAAAAAAAAAAAAGAAAGCCTGCATTTTGAGGGACCCCCAGCAGACTGGTGTTTTATCACCTTCATTGTAGAGAGAGTGCTTATACAGTTAGGTTCTCCCTCCCACTCTTCTTCACCACACCCATCTAAGCATATATTTCCCCCCATTAGAAGGAGTCTACAGTCGTTTCTGTGTGTTTCATTTTTAAAGAATAGAGAGATAATGGGCTGAGGGTCTGCCTCGCTTCCCTTTATGTAACTGTATTTTAATAAGTGCTTATAAACTGCCTGGCTTGAATTCCCTGCTTCTTTGAAATACTTTGCCGTCATTTACTTCAGAGAGTGAGAACAAATCTACTTTGCTCAGAATCTACTAGAACCATCAGGACTCCTGTCTTATTATGATTTACATTGGGTTCCACTTAGGGCAAAACCAGACCCTAACCCAAAGACAGAAAGGGTTGGAATGATTCCGAAGCCTTTGCATCTCTGGGGGTCTTCTTCTCAAACCATAGAGCATGTGTTGGGTGAATAATTTATAAAGCACATAGAAACCTGGCTTAAGTATTTGTCTCCTTCACCACAGTAAGTGTGGAATAGACATGTTTGGCTAATTTTCATGATGAAGATGACTGTGGGACTTTAGATGGGCAAGAATGAACAAGGCTAATTATTTATTGCAAGGATATTTTTGTGTATATTTTCCTGAATTGTCTTCTGTTTCTCCCAACTTTGACAAACTCTCTTTTTTGTACTATCTCACTTAGATGGTACATAGGTAATGGAATCCAAAAAACTATTACCCCTGAGTATGAAAGTCTCTATAGATAATAGAAAGTGTCCTTTTTTATTGGACTCTGATCATCTTTTCATTTCCTGCCCTCCTTTCTTGAGGGCATGCTGCCAACAGATATTTCCTTGCCGCAATAGGAAGGAAATGTGGAGCCTCCATCCTGACTCCTCTGCCCCACCATTATCATTCTATGCTCATTTGCCTTTCTGGTTGACCACAAAAGGCAATCGAGCCATTTTTCTATCATATAACAAGCTCAAATTGAATGAAAGCCTAATCAGTCAAGGAAATCCCAACGGACCTAGGCAATCCCATTGAGGAAATGAATTGGTTTTGCCTCAGTCTATTCCTGGAATCAAAAGACAGCGTGGTATAATAGTAAGAGTGCTGGACTTGGTTGGAGCCAGGAAAGACGTAGGTTCAAATCCTTTCCCTGACACTTCAGTAGTTATATGTTCATGGGTGAGTTATATAACCTCTCTGTGCCAGTTTCCTCTCAGGTAAAATGACAATAATAGCTGTAATACTGTCCTCCTATTGTTATTGTGAGGATGAAATGAGATAATGAGAAAGTAAAGGACTTTAAAAGCTTTCGTTCATCAGCAGGCACCTACTACTATATACCAGGCATGTCATCATTGTTATCTATGCTTTAAATTAATATTCAATTAATTAATAGTTTAATCAATGATTAATTTATTTATAATATAATAATTTAACTTAATTAACATCAGCACAGACTATACTAGATTACTTAGCATTTGTCTAATTCTTTTGAGATAATCTTCAATTTTCTAAGATAGGAGGAGAAAGCCACAACTCTTTTATCAATTCTGAATAGTACAATGGCCTAAAGAGAACTGGTCTGGACTCTTGTAGGGTGATAACTCAACCCTGGAGGTAACTCTATTCTAGGCCTTCCAGAAAATCCAAGTCTACAGTCTTATTAAAACAGCAAGGAATTAGTACTCCTTTTCTTACCTTGGTTTACACAAAATATAAATGCTTTTGCATTAAAAAATATAAATCAAGTTTGTTTCATGTGTAGTCTGAATTCTGTGCAAATTAGGTTAGAACATAAGACTGTATTCCAGAGAATAAAGACCATAAATTTTTCTAAAGTTTTTTTTTTTACTTAACAAGCATATATTTTCTCTCTCCTCCCATTGAAGAGAAAAAAAAGGAAAAACTCTTGAGATATATGCATAACCAAGTGAAACAAATTCCCAAGCTAGCCATGTGAAAATGTGGCTTAGTCTTTATCTTGAGTCTATCACATCCTTCGTCATTGATTGATCAGACTTTTGTCAAAGTTGTTTGTCAAAGTTGTATAAATTGTTCTCTGGGTTCTGCTCACTTTACTCTGCATCCATTCATACAAGTCCCGCTAAGCTTTTCTAATAATATATTTCACATATCCACAAATGCCAGGCCCTTTCTAAGTTATTCCTTCCATGCCTCCCTCCTTTCCAACTCTTCCTCTGGAAACATTCATAAATGAACACTTCCATCCTAGAAAGGAAATGTCAATTAATTGTATTATGACTCTACCTCCTGTGACATCCCTGTGACTCCCTAAAACATCCCTCCTTGGCCTCCACTTTCCTATATATGCTTCCTTCCCCTAATAGAATATAGGGGAAGCTAGGTGGCACAGTGTATAGAGCACTGGTCCTGGAGTCAGGAAGACCTGAGTTCCAATCTGGCTTGACACTTGATACTTACTAGTTGTGTGACCCTGGGCAAGTCACTTAACCCTGATTGCCTCAAAAAAAATTTTTTTTTAAGGTTTTTAAGCTGCCTTTGGGGCAGCTAGATGGTACAGCAGAATCAGAAGGATCTGAGTTCAAATCCAGCCGCAGACTAGACACTTGATACTTACTAGTTGTGTGACCCTAGGCAAGTCACTTAACCCTGATTGCCTCACACACAAAAAAAGTGGTCCTTGAGGTCAGGGATTTTCTTATATTTTCCTTTGTATCCAAGTACTTAGCACAGTACTTGGCACATAGTAAATTACTTAATGAATGTCTTTTCATTCATTCATTCATTCACAAAACCGACATGCCTGAAAAAGTCTGTAGAAGGCATCTGCAAGTTGTGTTTAATTTGGATATTTCATGATTGCTCTTGTGCTCCATGAGAAAAGTAGTAAAGCTTATTTATCAGCCTGAGACAAGCTCCATTCCAGGGTTGACAGCACTGCCAAACACATCCTTAGGAGACAAGGAGGCACAGGGGAAATTAAGGGGGGGAAAAGGCAAATTCAAAGTGATAGTAAATTCCGTGGGAGGATGAGAACTTGCAGAATCAGGCCCTCTGTCTTTTTCTGAAAGCTCACTTAAAATTCCACTGGAGAACATTAGCCTTCATTTCCCCATATTCAGTCTTTCAGATACCCAAGTCTCACATGGTAAAGATAACTATTGTCTCTGCACATCCTGTCTTTGAGTTTCATCTCAATCCTCTAAAAGATACACCCTCCCCCTAGGACTTTAAATGCATTTGTTTTTCCCTAACCTACCCTTTTTCGTCTAGACGGAAAGGTCTGGCCTTGAGGAATCGAATTTGTCCTTGAGTCACACACACACACGATCACCACTATGTCTGTATGTTTAAAAACACAGGACATTTGGGAGTGCTTAAACTGAGCCGAGGAAGACAAGATGGCTTCCTTTCTGCACCAAAATGACTCAGCTCAAACAGACAGACTTTTGGGACCACGAGCCACATCACAGGAAACTGCTGGAGGGAGGTGAAGGTCTAGGACGGGATTGTTGTTTTAAATAACTATATCTAGGTGGCAAATTCTTTCCCAGTTTTATATACTCGATCTAGTATGGCATCATTCATCTTTATTTGGCATTTTCTTTTCAAATCAGAGTCTTTTGGCCCCTGCAGATCTTTTGTGCCAGTTAGGACAAGGCCTTTATTAGGATTTTATAAAAATAGTCAATTTATTTGCTCCTTTATTACTATTTAAACAATAACTGCTACTAATAATAATGTTTTATATCTTCAAAATTTGCAAAATGTTTTGCAGGTGAGCGTTTGAGTATAGCCATTATCTCTTCATCAGCCTAACAAAACAGAGATTTCTGTGTACTTTATAGAATCTG